GCGTTTGCCTTTCGGCTTAAAGGACATGTCTTCTGAAAAACCGAAAGTTAGGCATTAGATGGTATTATATTAGGTAGTATATAGTATATAGGAGAACAAACGATAATTCCAGACCACTCGTAACTCATCCCCATCCACACCCAAGGATTGCGACGTGTAAAAAATAACAAACAAATGCACCGCATGGACTCGATCTCAAACTCCAGCTCGTGATGGGCCAGGGCTTCTGCAACCTGAGCTTCTGCGACCGCGGCCTGGTCTTGAACCATATCATCGCAAAGGTACGCCGTATGTGACCGTATGTGTGTGGGAATGCATGAAAAATGAGGATCCTTCTGAGGTTTCTTCAGCTTACAATATTTTACTGTATTGAAATGTTTTGGCAGTATGGCCTTAAACATTACCCCTGCCTTAGATAGGGCCCCCTGATAGAATATCTAGATTAATTTGAAGGAGTGCATACCTGAATTGTTGAAATTATATAATTGAAGGGTGTCTTTTACATCAATTAATGTTCTATACATTTTGCTTAGCCCCCCCTACACCCCCTAACTCATCGACACCTCACAAACCCCAGGTGGCAAACCCCCCATCCACAGCCACGCCAACGTAATACGTGAGCAGCGCTCAAAAACCAGGCAGGAAAGTGGCCACCGCATGCACACCAAGCAGGAAAGCAGCCACCACACTACCATGCAACAGTGTTGGCCTCTGGAGGAGGGGTCGATCAATTTGGCAAGCATAGGCCTGGGAAAGCTTATAGTTAGACCGTTAGACCCTGAATATTCTGAAACTCGCATCGACGTCCTTAGTTACTTTGGTTCCTCTCTCTCTCTCTCCCACCCCGGCCCTCCGTGATAATTAATTGAGGGGTGTGCGACCTCTCCACCACCTCTGGATTATTTCTCAAGTAGACATGACCCTAGCTTGATCCAAAGTACACCGGGAAAATGCAAATTATTTTTGCCTATCCGACTTAGGTGCTTACCAAAATTGTCGACAAATTTAAATCAATTCGTAGGTAACCCCCTCTTCCAATTAGTTATTTAGTGGAGGGATCATCCTTAAACTAATCCATATATAAGACTATCGGCCCTTGATGCGCCTCGCATCTTCCTTTGGGCTGGAACATCTTCCCCTCCTTCGCCCATCTCGGCAACCAGGCTTTCTTCACATGGCTCCGGCCAGCTCCTTTGACATTTGAGAACGCACAATGAAATTAATGATGAACTCGACACAACTCGACCATTTTTGCACATGGAACACATAAGCGAGCACTGGTATATTTGCAATGTGACCATAGGTGACTAGGAACACGGCAACCCAGGTGGGAGAGCATTAGAAAAAAAACGTGTTTTTAGCCTAATTATCGGCACCAAGAACAAACATTGGATCAAACTTGTAAAACGGATATTGTGAAGAAACAATTAGAGTGACATCCAGGGGGTTATGTTCTGTCACGATCTATTCATTGTCGGCCATGTTTCACAGATATTCATACCCGAAAATCCCGCAAACAACGTCTGCTTTCTTGGGTCTTCCAGTGCTGATCCATTTTACACTGGACACATGCTGATACATGGATGTCGAAAAGACTGGGGAACCCTCCCATGTCATCACTGTTGAGTCAAGAAGGGAAACCAAACAACCACCTAGAGTACTTGATTGTGCCCCTCTTCTTGTTACATTCCGACATCTCCTTTTCTTATCTTTTCTTGATCCTGGTAACCAGGCAGCTTGGTCAAATCCTTGCGAGCAAAATGTAAAGGCACTTCGAGGGTTTCAGCCAACACCATGGCTCCCAAGATAATTTGGTTCGCTGCGGTAGAGTGAGGGATAAAGCATTCTCACTCGCACAGATTGTCTCTTCCTCCAAGCTACAACCCTGCGGCTATCAGTGAAACACAACAATATCATACAACATCTATGAATCTATATAAATCATACAATACAAAAGTAGGATATAGCAGGATCAAGCAGGTGCAACATGGTACAACAACATAGGACAAAGTACATTCATGCGAATCAACTCAAATCAACATCATGTTGAAACTGTCCTCTGAAATGCCCCAAACGACTGTCCTTTGCAGTGATGTCTGACCCGCACAAAAGCAACGGAACAGCTCCAATACCACTCCTCCTTGACAAGTTTGGACACTTTATAACAACTTCGCAACATTCCACGCCTTTGACTTTAGCCTTCGCTTTCGGCGCTGGCATGACTGGAGGCTCCTAGCGGATGGTGGCACGGCTCCCACTCGCCCAACGTGAAGAGACTGCCACCTTCATTGATTTGGCAAAATGGGCTGTGCAACTCTTCTTTATAAATTATACATCTTTATACATTCAATATACAGTATATAGATTGATATATTATACTATATACCGGTTGCCACAAAAAGAGGAGAAGGTGTTTCAAAAGGCCTGGGTAGCGCAAACCCCATCGCCCCCAAAAAAGGCAGAACCAGCGAATCAACTCGTGCCGAAAAACACCGCCTCGCTCTCGTCACTCTTCACCTCTGAGGTCACTCGAGCGCACAACCCGAACAAAAACACTCGAGGTCACCCCTGCACCGCTTCTGACCGGGTCAGACCGGGTCTCGCGTGGCGCTTTCGTCCTGCAACTTAGGCTCGGCCTTGGGGGCCGCCACCTGGCAGGGTTTTGGAGACCGAGTGCTTAGAGATCCAAGTGGATGGCGCAGAAGTTCCGATATAAAAGGAATTGTTTCCCAAAACTTTTGGAACGTTTCAACGTGTTGTGGCCATCTCTGGCGCGTCATGGGGTGTCAAAAGGCCCAGAGCTGGTCCCAGGGGATGGTCATACAGGCGAAGCCATTTTTGGAAGGCACTAACGAAAATCCATGGAAGACCAGTTGGATAAGTTTTATCCTGATGCTCATCATAAGCAACAACGCAACAACGCGTCATTCTGCCAGGTCAGGTTTCTCTCACTTAGAATCTGATTTACCTTTACCTGTTGAAGTCTTGTTTGAGTAGAAGAAAGAAGAATACCGCGAATCTCTGATTATGCGTCCGTTCTCAACCCACCCATCCTGAACCCACTATGGCTGCATGGGAAACAATTGGAGCTGAGAATTGTGTCTTTTTAAGTTTCAGGTAACTGGTGCAAGAAGCGTTGCCAAACAAGAAACAAAACCATAATCTGACGAGCATGTATCATCTTCGCAACACCCCCAAGCCATTACCACACGACAACCCAACCCAAAAGCATGTGGCCCTGGAAAAGCTTCCTGTGGAAAATAGGCAACTCATAATGGATTTACCCCTCTTCTCGGCCTCAGTGGCTAGTCCTGACACCTCAAGGGAGAAGCGCCTTTTGTCAAGTGTGATATGGGCCTTTGCGCACGTCCGTCCAAAAATATATAAAAAAATCCACCTGCGGTGATTAAACAATGCAACCAAGGCGGATTTGTCCTTGTCTTTTCCTTATCCCAAATGGTCGAGCCGCTTATGCAACCCGACCGACGAACAAAGCCACAGTGTAAGAACACACGGATCAGGGTGGAGTTGAATGAAATTCTGTGTTCACCATCTGCCCCTTGTGCTAAGGCTCACGGTTCGGGACGAGAAGAGAACCTGGACCTGCAAAGACTGAAAACAGTCCATTACCGAACACCCCCCACGATGCCGCCTTCTTTGGTTGCGCGACAGCCTCACTGCTGCTCGAAGACTTGGCCTAGTGCCATGGCTGACCATGAATGGAAATGATCATTACTAAGCCGAACTGTACTTTAATGTCCCGCCAGGAAGATCTAGCTAGTTCTTAGCTGTCATGCTCGGAGCCTGGAGTTGCAAAGCTATGAGAATGTCATTGAGTAATGTGCAGACTCCAACGCGGACAAGATTAGTTATGTATTAGTACTTAACATTACTTAACTTATTACTATTATTACGTTAATTGTTATTGTTGCGCTTGGTTGCTCAATATGCTATATTATGCTCAATGCTGGATATATAGATATACCGAAAACGAAGACATGTCTAGAAAGGCCTTCAATGTTGTCATAGCCGAAACAATTAACATTTTTGCATGAAACATCATGCATCACCTATATGTTAGGTATCACCCATGTAATTGTTGCTCTCATTCCTCGATGTCACTTAGCCAAGGGACTGGACTGGAATAGATGTGCGAATTGTTTGGACTCCTCCTTTTGGGGATCAAAAGCATCATCTACACAACAATTATGTTTGGCCTTGGTAAGTTTGTTGAGCAGCGCAGCTGTCCCACGAACCGATTTCCAACAACTCCAGCTTGTTCATGCCCCGGATTTTGCCTGTGGCTTTGAGGAGCTAGTGCTGGAGCTGTCCTGCTCCAAAACGACAACAAAAATGATGCATTTCTGAAGTGGGACATCGGCTGAGGTCTTTGATCGTCGATTGATGAGTCCATCGATGGGTCGCTAACATAGCTTGCAAGGTTCACCACATCTGAAACCGTGAATCCCACTAAATCAGCAATTCCTCGAGTCAAGTCTACGAAGTTCTTCGGGCTCCCTGTCAAAATTAGAGAGCACTGCACAACTGCACAACCTTTAGAATTGATGGCAAACACAAATGGGGACAAAACATCACCAAGCTTACCCAGTCCAACCAACTGTGGACATCCCAAAAAACTTGTAGGACTGTAGGTCCACTGAAGGTGTTGTAGCTCTAACTCCGAACATCTGCCAACAATAACCATTGATAGCTTCCTGCAGTAGTCCTACAGGGGGGTCCCCTGAACAACCGGCGAGGCTTCCCTAAACCACCTCCTCGGCTCTGGGCCCAGAGTTTGTTGAATTCTTAAAGGCCGCTCTGCCCCTACGTAGAAGTGATGGCCTCCAACCTAGTAGTGATGGCCTCCAACCTAGAAGCAAAGAATCAAGATTCAGTTGCCTGTGACTGACAACTCCATAAGTAGCAAAAGGCCTTTAAGTAATTACAAGGCAATCACCCCAAAACATCTTTTGGATCCAATGGTGCATCCTTTCTTTCCTGGCAGAACAGCATAGGGCAGCATCTTCGAAGATTGCGGCTTGGATTTTGAAGATGTTCCTATTCTCGCCAGCGCTGCTGTCCCATGCACATGTCCACCAGCCCGTCCCACAGACCTGGAAAAACCTTCCAAACACGAAGCACATCAAACCATCGAAGCAGCTGCTCAAAGTAGCTCGTTGTGTCAAGGAGGACTGACAAACTGGGCTCTGACCCACCGGGTGCGGCCACTCCACTCTCAGCCGTCGGACATTCAGGTTTCGTGCAGCAAATACTTGCGTTAAGTGCAGGCGGCTCAATGTCGTTTTAGCTCAATGCCGTTTTGACCTTCCTTCACCTGTTCCAAAAACTTGTATTGGCAACACTTTAAAGCTCGACCTCCAGCGTCTTTGTCGAGTCGTTCTTCTTGGTATGACGCAGAATTCTCCAAAGCAAGCCATTGAATGTCTGCATGCTCGGCAGCCCACGCTTGCGCACATAAAGCTTCATCCCTTCAAAGACCTCTCTCTGGCATATGTCTCTTGAAGTCACTCCACAAAGAACTCCTGCTCTCACGAGGATTTGCTGAACCAGGTGCACTCTTGAGTGCCTCAAGCAACTCTTCTGCCGCTGCCATAGTCCAGAAAAATCATTTGAAAGAAATGCTGTCCGAAGCTTCGATTGGACGTCCAAGACTTTATCTCCTGCAATTGGCAGCATACCTGCTTTTCTCAAGCTTCCCTTGTTGTAGCTCGCATTCACAAAGCAAAACATCGCTTCAGTCAGGTCAGCGTTCAAACCATCATCCAAATAGCCCAAACGGTTGAGTGCCTGGGGCACCATCTCAAGTGAGTCGGTCAGTATGAATGGGCCTTCGCCTTCGAAAATGCGTCTGGAGCATGCGTTTCCATACATCCGCACATGTTTCTTGCTTGAACTGCATGCGACGATGGGCAAGATAAATGCTAGCTTACACACATCAGAGTAGCGCCCCCAGGAAGCACATCTTTGCTCACTGACAATTTCATACATTGCATTCAGGCCGATGGTGGGAGGATAAACCACCAAGTTACCTAAGTTGTTGGTAAACCAGAACTTCGCAATGCTTTGAATAGTGTAGCCCTGCCCTCCATAGCCCAAATTGTCAAGAAAGTCTGTTACAACCTTGGAGCGAGAAATGTACACCTTTGAGGAAGTTTGCGGAAACGGATCAGCAAGCTCTACTGAGCCACTTCCGTCCTGATGGAGAATTGCCCTGACTTTGGAACCAAGATTGCTCTCAAAGTCCTTTTGCAACCTGATTGTCGGCAGACCAGCAACCTCAAATGATCTGAATACAGCAGGCACGCTTTCTGGGATAAAGGCGCAACAGCTAGTCCCTGAATGCTGGATCTCAACCAAAGTTTTGATAAAACCTGTATCTGAAGTAAGTAAAGCCACGCAATCAATACCCGCGCTCGAGGCATTCAGCATTGCTGAGAGCACTGCAACATCAGTGGGCTCGTGCAAAGGAAGAGCAGACCTGCAAACTGGTTGGAAACTGATGTCCATCTCTACGAAGAACTTTTCCCACTTTTTGTTCCTAGCCCTCTCAGGCGGTCCAAAGAACTTGGTAGAAACAGACCATCGCTGTCTCTCCAAATGCCCAATAGCTTCTCGGACTTCCTGCATGCTATGTACATCACCATCCACGAGCAGTTCCGCCGACCGCTTCGACCGCTGCGACCGAAGCCAGACCGCCCTGGTCTCGCACGTGTCACGCGCGGAACCGCTGCGCCGGGACCTGGGCAGCGCGGACACCGCCAGCGACAGGACCTGCCAACCGTCCAGGCCGTGGCCCTGCCCAGGGCGCCGGCAATGTGGTCTCCCGCAGCTGTGGAAGCTGTGGCAATGCACGTGTGTTGCACGTGCTTGTTGAAGGTGAGTCATGGAAGAAGGGCAAACTAGAGGATCAAAGTCAAATAGGTGCGCTGCCGCGAAAGGGCCAAACAGCTGCGGAGGATGAATATTGATGACGTCAGGATTCAGTCTGGCTGATATTGTGAACATGAAACGTAAGTTCTACCGTATGCTCTTGTCAAATGCCATACGCAGCCATGCTATGTTGTGCGTGCACGCAGAATAGTGTTCAATCAATAATACATTCTTCCTTTGATAAGTGCTCTCACATCAAATAAAAAGGAGTGAAACAATGTTGCAAAAGCCGCCGATTCGCGTGTCACCCACATAGCCCACACACTCACCCACATAGCCTTTGATGCATTGTGATGCAACACTTTCGTGTGTTTCTTGGATGCACTCTTTTGGTCCATGTCAAACTAAGGTAGTGTCTTAGCACCAATCCCTAAGAGTCGCGCCACCTGATCAGTTGAGATTGGTGCAAGATCTCGTCCACCAACTCCCAAAGTCCAAAAGTGATTCGGATGAGGGCATGTTTCCAGAGAAGGAAGACTACCCCGCTCCAAAGAAACCACTGATGTGACATTGACAGAACAATTGGATTGTTTTGAAGGGATCTGTTTCAGCGATTCCATCTTGGCCACCTTGCAAAGGAACTAAGGAACCTCCTCTTCTCAATCCTCTTGGGAGAGTTGATGTGGCTATGGGTCAAACCGCTTTTGTGTACTCCCATGATCTCCCATGAACTGGTGTTCGTCCCCTCCAAATATTCACATGTTCACCTGCCATTCTTTGGAATGGTTGGGTGTTTGACTCACGAACTATCGAACAAATTTATTCAGAATAGTTATGTGGTTGTAATTGGTTGTACCTAGTACATCAAAGGCTATTTGAGTGGTACCCTCTGTCCAACAAACATCGGTCTGCAAACATGCCACCCCCCTGGAAAGCCCTGGTCCGGACGACTATGCACGGGCATGGGCTACAAACCACTTGGATGGGTGGAGAGGGTATTCGTCTCCCTCACCCTCTTCGCAACCGTCCATGGACTTCGCCGTTCTTCGTCACATCAGTCCTCGGACTTGCTCTCGGACCTCTTCCGTCCGCGGAGAGGGCGGCTGCGGCTGCGGCTGCGGTTCCTTCGCCTGGCGACGAAACATGTCCAGTGTGTGATCAGCCTGGCTCGTCCACAAGTTGGGGGTGAAAGGGGTTCGATTAGACTATGGTAGAACAACATAGGTGATGGCAAAAACTGACCAATGTGGTTGCGGTTGTTGTTGGTGTTGTATTGTTTTAAGGTTCCCGGGCCGGGATGTTTGACTATGGGGTATGCTTCGGAGGTATGCTTCGGGGGTATGCTTCGGGGTATGCTTCGCGCAGTGTGAAGACTACAGTAGTAGCATTTTCAGAGGGTATGCTTCAGGGTGTGCTTCGCGGGTATGCTTCGGGGTATGCTTCGCCTAAGTCGAACATCCCAGCCCTACATAAACTGGACACCTTAAAAAAAGACAAGCCCTTGTTGTTGTTGTTGTTGTTGCTGTTGCTGTTGTTGTTGTTGTTGTTACCAATATTAACAAATATATAGCAAAATGCAAAATCCGTTCCTAGAATAAAAAGGATCAGGGTCTATCTTGAGACCTATGTTCAAGATTCCTTTCCAAGCACTCCCAATCAGTCCCAATCATGCTATACTTTTGCTGTCCTCTTCCTCCTTTCTCTCCACTCTCCTTTCCGTGCCTATGGCTCACGCGCCGAGAACGCCGCCGGCTACTGCTCCGGTGCCGGGCCCGGCTGACCCGGCGGCGGATGGGGCGACGAGCGCGCTCGCTCCTGGCATGTCCCTCTGTTGAACCCGGCTTTAACCACCAAAGACAGGACTTCAGATGACTTAAGATATCAGGCATGTTGGGGACATGAAGCCACCACATAGCAAAGAAGCAAACAAGCAAGCAAGCAAACAAATAAATCTCACAGACTTTAATCCAAACCCACCAAACCTGAATATTATGAGCAATTGGCAAACCTCTTGTGTGGGGTTAAAAACATCTCCCCTGCCATGGGGCTCAGTTATTTTCCGCCATCAACCGTGGGATGAATGCCCGTCGCTGCCTGTACTACAGAGACTCTGAAGGGTCGCTCGTATTAGAGTCTTATGAGCTCAGGGCAGGTGAATCAGGTGAACCCTGAGACTTATGAGAGTCTTATGAACTCTCATATAAGAGTCTTGTTTGAGTCTTATGAGCCAGATTCTGTTGTGCAGCTGTGCATGAACTCAGGGCCAGTCCTGGACCGCCTGGCAGGTTTGCTGCCAGATCGCGACGGCGCGTCACCCTGGCAGACCTGCAAAGAGCCGTGCCCGTGCCCCCCAAAAAGGAAAGGGCGCACTTTTTCAGAGGTTGCTGTCCTCTACAGCTTGTTTCGGACAGAGAAACTTGACGGTAGCAAAGATGTGCTGCTGTTGATTCCTTGAAAAACTTCCACAAGTGTTCACAAAATCAGCAGCATTTGGTTGGCTGCGATAGGCCCTCTAGCCGCTAGGCCTGACCTTGTGGATTTCCGAATGGTCAAATGGTGTTCAAAGAATTCCTGCAGATTTTTCCCATATCCATCACCTGTTGGTTCTTTCCTTTTCCGTCTGTATCTCTTTGGCCGACCTCTTTCTTCACCAAATCCCAGGCATAGGAAACCATCGGCTCTACCTATACGTCGTCAGACGGTCGGTGGTAGAGGTGCGGGAACATGGCAAGGAAGTGGTTGATATGATAGTATGTGCTTGACAAACAGGATAGTTAATGTGAGCCAAAAGGGAAGCTTTTGGCTGAGCTACAAAAATGACTGCAACATAATGTACACAAACATTGTAAATGTATGCTATTGTACTAACTATATATAATATTGTACAAAGTATATCATATTATATACATATCACTGTCACAACGATATTCATCTGCAACTCTGGTCAACAAATCTGAAGGAACCATGGCTTTCTCATGCTTCGCCTGGGTGGTCTTGTCTTTGCTTTTCACAAGGTAGAAGAAGTGCCGCATTCTGTCTCGCATTGTCTTTTGACCTTGGACATCCATCGTGTTCATGGTGAGGCGGAAAACGCGAGCGGGTCAAGAGCTTTGTTGGCTGCAGAATCTAATGTTGCCACATCCGCAAAGCCCGGTCCAAAAAAAAAACAACACAATCTGGATTTGGTGGTCACCCTGTACAAGCCGGTGGATGTCCTCACCTTTGACAGTGTTGAAATGATAATCATAAACCACATCTGAGAAAGGAAAGAAACAACACGTTTCGACATGTTTCGACACGGTTGATGTCTCCCTGCCTTTGTTGATAAGACGATTCTAATTTGTAACCATATAGACCACGCCTGTCCACCCCAAAACAAAACACGTCCAGGCGCCCGGCGCTCGAAGTTCAAAGACCGGGACTTCATGAGAGCTTCACCGTCTGCAGCCTCCATCATCCTCGGACCGGAGGACCGGAACGGGTGTTCTTCGGGGAGGGAAGGCAGGGCAAATGCACAAAACAAGCTTCATTATGTGTCCTAGCTCATGCATTCCCCCCACAATCAAGTTGGATTTAATATGTTAGCTTCTTATTGGGGCTCCCTGTTCTTCCCCAAAGCCAGAACCTCCAACAGCTTCTACCACTTTCTACCCTCTCCTACCCCCACCTCGGCCAAGGCACATGAGCGCTCGCTCGGCGAGCGTGTGCAGCTCATGGGAACGTACGAATTCCACCTGAGCAGTGGATGGTATTTCTTCGGTCGCACCGGATGCAATTTCCTCCGGTCGCTGGTGCTGTTTCTCAATGAAGAAACGTACTTATAAAGACATGAGTTTGGACATAAGTTTGCTAAGGTCTTTTACTGTTTATCAAATTTTGTAAAGACAATGGACCATTCTCAGTTGCTTAAGATTTTGCCGCAACTAAGCAATTGCTTGGTTCATTGGCGATTAACCAATGATTGTACGTCGATAACATCGATAGGCCTTCAATCCATTGACATTGACATTTTGATGAAATTTGGATCATACACCCAGTAGTTTCGCCAAGTCGTGTCACATCAGATACATAGAGAATTCTCAATGAAGATCATAGAATCTAGCATCATACCACGCCACAGAACGAATCCAGAAACGCAAGACTTCGTGGCCGCTTCCGACAGCCTCAAAATCCTTGAGTAAAATATCTCTCATGTACCAAACAAAACCAATTGGACGGCCGTGTTCTTACCAGAATGGATGGCCGTCTTTTGATCTCGTTCACGGATCAGCTGGGCATTTGTAAAGCTACAGGTTCCACCCAGGCCTCCACTCCTAGGTTAGCCCCAGGTCTCCAAATCAGAGACCAGGGCAGTACCAGGGAGCAAATACGTATCCAAAACATCATGGTTTTGCTGATTGGAACTTGCAAAGTGGGTGCATTACATATCTCACCAACAAGTACCATGGATTATAGATTTAATTTGACATGAATGAATGTGTCCCATCCACTCTGATCTCCCATAAAACTCTGTCCTTGCAAAACCCTTGCAATGTTTAACATATACTGTGCACACATGTTGTATAATTTTGTCCTCGGAGACCAGCCGGGCATACCCAGCCAACTCATGGAAGGAACGAACAAAGGCAAACAAAAAGGCAACAGGTTCAAGGAACTGCTGATTTTGGCCCACGCTCACGAGGGATCATGAGGGTCGTCGGTCAGTATTGATTGATGATTCCTTGATAAACTCAACGGAGTGGTTCCAAAAGTGTATCGACGGATCGTCTTTTATGGCATTCCCCGGTCTTTGGTTGGACGACAAACTTGTGAAATGAACCCTTGTGGTGAGTCCAAATCCACTCAACCCCCCGCGGCTGCGCGTAAATGGGCTCTCAAAAAGATTATCGTGCAAATTTGTGGAATACACATGAAGTGAAACCATCAGACCTGTACACCTGTACCCACCGGAGTGTGTTGCACTTGCCCTTCCCATGCAGGAGACCCGGGACACTGAATCACATGGGTGTCCTGAGGATGCCGGTGACTGGGAAGCCACACCACTCGCCCGGCGAATTGCAAGGTGTGGCTCCGATGGGACACCTGATTTGTAGCTTTTGCGAAGAGAAGGGGTGGCTCTAATGGGCAACGGGCCCCAAGAACGGCAAACTGGAAGAAACTCTTGGACTCTTGGATGTGTCCGTATACACGTGGATCCTCTTGTTCTTTATGCCGGGTAGTCCCGGTAGGGGTGCTGTGCAGCAACAGCCCAGAAAGGGAAATGTTATTGTTGTAACTACTCTTTTGTTGAGTGTTGTTGTTATTGTGTCGGGTGTTGTTGCATCAAGCTTCGATGACAGTTGACACTGCGACATAGTGCTACACACGCATGGCCTGTATATGGAAGCTGAAGTATATAACGCCTTGGTAGAGGAAACGTCTTCAAGAAGGCTGTGCTCCATTATGCTCCATTTCCCTTATTCCCTGAACATGTCTATGCGTATGCTCCATTATGCTCCATTATGTTCCATTATTTCTTACACCCCAAAATCACAAGTGAAAAGAACAAGAACTTTCACCTGCAGCATCTGGCTTCAACATTCTTGAGCACTGTCTCGTGGATTCCCAAGCTGCGGAAGTCAGTCCTTTCCCCAATGGTGCCTTCTTCTTCAACTGCGCTTCCACTTCCGGCGGCAGTGCACCCTGACGCAAGGGGAAGTCCAGGCCGCGAGGCTCTGTGACTAAAGTTGGGGTAAAGAAGACCCGAAAATAGACAAAGGAGTGTGGTCATGGTAGTCATAGTTTTGGCCCAAGCCTGCTACATGAACTAGCATAGATTCATATTACTATTCATACAATTCTTATCGTGCCTTGCAGGTGCCTTGCAATCGAACAATTTCA